GCCACCCGCCCCTGCAGCGCCACCTGCAAGCCGAGCTGGACCGCGTGGTGGGCCGTGCCCGCCTGCCCACGGCCGATGACCGTGCTGCCCTCCCTCAGCTCGAGGCCTTCCTGTGCGAGGTGCTGCGCTACAGCAGCTTTGTGCCCGTCACCATCCCGCACGCCACCACGGCTGACGTGCAGCTCGATGGCTTCTACATCCCCCGGGGCACCGTGGTCTTCATCAACCAGTCGAGCTGGACCGCGTGGTGGGCCGTGCCCGCCTGCCCACGGCCGATGACCGTGCTGCCCTCCCTCAGCTCGAGGCCTTCCTGTGCGAGGTGCTGCGCTACAGCAGCTTTGTGCCCGTCACCATCCCGCACGCCACCACGGCTGACGTGCAGCTCGATGGCTTCTACATCCCCCGGGGCACCGTGGTCTTCATCAACCAGTGGTCAGTCAACTACGACCCGACCAAGTGGAAGGACCCGCACGTCTTCGACCCGGGGCGCTTCCTGGATGCCGAGCAGCAGCTGGACCGTGACCGCGCCGCCAGCGTCATGATCTTCTCGCTGGGCAAGCGGCGGTGCATCGGTGACCAGCTGGCCAAGCTGCAACTCTTCCTCTTCACCGCCATCCTGCTGCATCAGTGTGCCTTCGAGCCCAACCCAGCTGAGCGCCTCACCATGGACTGTGTCCATGGGCTGGCACTCAAGCCACAGCCCTTCACCGTCTCCGTCAGGCCGAGGGGCAAGCCTGGGGGTGCCCTGTGAGGAGCCAACTGGCCCAGGGTAGCTCTGCCTGTAGAGCCCAAGGTGAGATTGCCCCTGCGACCAGGGCACATCGCTCTTGAACAGCCTTTCTCTTGAACAGCCTCTAGCCTGCCCCTCGGGGCAGTGCAGGGAGAGCAGTCCCATGTCCCCGCGTGGCAGAGTGGACACATCGGCAGCTTCAGGCAGAGAGCTGGGGGTGAGCTGAGCCTCTGGCAGCCCTTACGCACCTTCCTCAGCCCCCAGCAGCTTTTGCTGGCTCTGGGAAGAGTCCTCTTCTAGCTGTCCTATCGCTGCCAGGGTCCCCGGAGCTGTCCCTCCCTTACATCCAGGGCACTAATTGAAAGGCACCTGCTCAGATCTGGCCAGACAGGGCAGCACAGGGGCATCTGCTGACAGCCTTATTCCTTTCACTAAAGCAGCACACATGAGGGTACGCCTCCTTCCCTGCTCATCCTAGCCCCACATAGACAAAGCCTTTGAGGGAGGGTGCCTTCAGGCACCGCTCCTGGATATTGCTGCCAAAGCCAAGACAGTTGGCCCTTGTTCCTGGATGCTGGACAATCACTGGTTAATGAAATTGACCCAGAGAAATCAGGAGCAGGAGTTGCACTTTGCCATTCAACCTGTGCAGCCATAGATTCAGGGGTCCCTTTCCTACATAAACAGCTTCTCCTAGCCCTAGCTTCATTATTCTCACTCTCCAGTGAAAAGGACTTCCCTGTAGACAAAATAAGTGTGGCAGAGCCCTTTGGAACATTCAGTGCTTTATTAAGAAATGAAATCCAAAGATATGGGGTGAAGGGGACATCACTGTTTCTGAGCCGGACTCTTCCCACTGCTGTCTGTTCATGGGGAATAAGCACAGGTCTCCTGTGTCCTGAGTCACTCTCCCTCAGGGCCAGAAGCCAAAGGGAGTAGCAGTCCCTTCCCAGCAGCTCCCACATCTGCTTGGCAAGTCAAGAACTTGGGGAGAATTTAACCTACAAAACATTGCAAATCTAGGACATTTAAAGACAAAAAACCCCAGCTTTTTTCTCTGCTATTAAGCTTTGCACGCACAGATTTTTTTACAGTGCTTTTCTGTGTTCTTTTTGTAATGGGAATGGCTTAAGTCTGAATTCACAACACAGTGAAATGTGACATTTTTCTTTCCTTTTTAATTTTTTTTGGTTTTTTTGCCTTTTCTGAATAAATCTCTGACAAGTGTTTGCACTGGTGGTGGTGGTTTCCTCTTGGAGGGTGGGGAGGCATGGAAGTCTATACCTGGGCTGAGGTCCTGTTCTTTGCAAAGACACTGTATATGTGTCTACAGAGGCATCTGGAAGGGAAGTGTTTTAAGGAACGTACATGTCGGCTCCTGGTCTGAAATTGCTGTTACAGGAGAGAAGGATGTTAAAGGGGGAGACTGTCAAAGGTCATGAAGGGTCAGGAAACACATCTGGCTGCTTTGGGCATTACCTGATATTCCCAGTGTCTTTAGGGGTGGGTGAAAAGGCCAGTGTTGAGAGAGGTCTAAGTCCTGCCCTCCTGTGTTCACTGAGGCAGTGCTTCCAAAGCAACCAGGTGATACAGCACCTACTGCAGCACTCACTTACCACTCCATGTGGGCTAAGGTCTGGGGCACAGGTTCACCACAAACAAGGTGCATGTAGTAAATGCTTTCTTTAAGGAGGGATCAGAAAGAAACCAGAGGCTGCTGGATGCACAATCAGAAAGAGACTTCTCTAAAATCAAGGTGCAGCACCACGGAAGGTAACATATAAAGGGGAAGGAAGGAGAAAAGGTGGGAGGATAAGGTAACACCCTGCCCTGCCCTGCCCTGCCCTCCCCCAAACAGGTATAGGTCTACTTTTGTCACTGGACATGAAAGCGGTCAGTATAGTGTCTTTAAGAAAAAGAAATCAAAGCTGGCACTTGCCTGTCCCTACAACCAGTATGTCCAATGGGGCTCCACAACTGGGAATTCAGTAGCAGGTCCTGCCCCCCACCGAATTCCCAACCCCTCTGGAAACCCTGCAAGCCAAGTGAAATGGCTCTATGTGCCGTGTATGGCACCTCTTATTCAGAGGGATCTGTCCGAATTCCTGCTTTAACCAGGGGACTCCAGTTCCCCCCACTCCCAGCAGATGTCTTCAAATCCTTTTTAAGTGCCAGGATAGAATGGGTGATGATGACCAGTCCTCCTCTTCCCCTGCCAGTGCCTTTGGCACCATTAGCTCCTTCAGTGATACAGGCAACAAAGCATGCTGAGAGAGGGATCTAAGGAAGAGAGGAAATCTGGGTGCTAAGTGCCCTCATCTTCCATTTAGGAACTTAAAAACTACAGGAGCAAAACAGTGGAGGGAGCTGGCTGGTGAAAAGATCTAGAGCTAGAGGCAGGGAAATAGAATCCATGCATGATAGGGAGCAAGAGTGAGACAGGAACAGCAGGAAAACAGACTCTAGTGGGAAGCACAAAAGGTGGATGGCATTCAGAGATGGGAGGGGCAGCAGAAAGGGAAAAACTTAGAGGCTGCAGTCCCAAAGAAGGAGAAGCTGTTCCTGGGACAGCTGCAGGGGAAACAGACCTGCCATGAACCCCTTGAAAGGATGCATGTTTTAAACTTTTCATAGTCTGTCAGACAAAAAGAGATTCTGCAGATTTTGCCTCAGTTTTTTGATGGCTGGAGTTAGGCAGGTTTTCCTACTTCACTACACCATAGTAGTTGTTACACCAACCACTCGCCCAGGGCAGGCTATGGTCTATCCTGGGGTAGTATTATAATGGGAAGGAAATTCTACTTCTGAGTTGTAACAAAACATGAAACCTGTGACAATTTGATTTTTGTCAAGCAATCTAAAGGTCAAAGGGGTGCCATAAAATTAATTGATACATGGGCCAACCCCTCCATCCCTGTAATGGCACATGCCCCTTCCTATGTAGCCAGGGAGAGACTGAGAACCATATAGCGTACATATTTATCACACATTTTTTATTTCCTTTGCACACTGATCTATTTGCACCTGGCATCATTCTTATGTTCCAAGCCCCTTGAAGCAGCTTCAAAGGACTTCCATGTTTTCAGGAAAATCAAACTGGTGCAGATGTTCTTGCTTTCTCCTTTTCCTTTCCCCTTCCCTTAGTCACATGTGCCCAAAGGCAATAGCCAAGACACTGTCCTAGACCAGCAAGCATTTGAGGTGCAATACATCACAACTCTGCAGGAAAGCCTGCTTAACTTCTGGCTATGACAAGCCATTCTTTGTGTTATACCAAGGGAAAACAATGCCAGCTGCTTTTCATACAAATGCTGAAGACTAAATAGCAGCAGTTTAAGTGGGGGGAAAAACGTGCCTTGGTGTAGCAGGGAACCCTCACCCTGTTATTGGGGGAGAGCTATGAAGCCAGTAGAGCCACTGAGGGTCCATTAAGAGAAAGGTTTTTGTGGCCTGGGCTAAGGCAGCTGGCAGGGCCCCTGTGCCCAGACCAGCTAATAGGTCAGGCTGGCCAGAAGGGGCAGGGCTCAAGGGGTAAATAGGCTTGCCCTCAAGTTGTAGGGGCAGTCTAGCCCTGACTGGGAAAGGGGTAGCACCCTGTAGTTGGCCTGCAAGGAGGCCTGGAAACAAAGGGGAGTCCTGGTGAGGAAGGGCTGAGAGGAAGGTTTGGTTGGTTTTTTTTTTTTTGGTTAGCTTTTTCCTTTTTCCCTGTGCAGGACCCAGAAGGGAGAGGGGACTGCTACTCAGGGAGTACTTGTTTGAGTGCCTGGAGAGGCAGTAGTTTATGGTTGAAAGCAGTTTCTTGCATGCTTTTTTTGTTTCAGTTTGTGGAGATGAATGACTGTGAGGGGGAAGCAGAGGTCACACTGCGAGTACCTTAAAGTGCCCTGGGAGATTCACCCCTTGTGGATGAGGGGTCATGTGGGGGCAGAACAGGAGAGAGAGGATTTAACCCCCTTTAAGGCTGGGGAACCTGGGGAGGCTACGGCCTTATTGTGTAGCCTAATTCTCAGCTGTGCCACGTTTACAAAGAGCCCAAGCTGAACTGAGTGGGTGGAACTAGGGCTGCAGGAAAATAGACCCTGACCAAGAGAGATGGAGCCTGGACAAATATAAAAAGGTTAAGCCAAGTGGCCCAAAGGAAGCTTCACTCTAAGTCCCAGGGTGCCTCCTGCATAATTAGTTCCATTGAGATGTGGCAGGAAAGATGTAGGGCAGTAGTTCAGAAGCACTAGAGAAGAATGGGGGAACAAGCTACGTGGCTACTTTATGACCTAGCAGGGCTAGACACTGCCACACTTGGTCAGAAAAGTGATTTATAAAATAGGACCTTGATGAACCCACCTGCTGCTTGCACAACTTGGCAATGCAAAGAAATGCGTTCTGGGAAGAAGTAGAGGATTTGTAGTGTATGCCAGTGACTCTCCACCTTTTTAGACTCAAGGAACCCCTCTCATTAGCATCAAAGTACCCTCTGAAAAATCCCAGCTCTTGGCTTCTGTTTCTTTTGACTACAGGAAAGCAACAGAGCAGTCTTTCTGTTGGAATGAACTCGGAAAGCCCACAGCAGCTTAGAATGTTTTTTAACACCAAGTTTCTATTAGAATCTCCTGTCTGCGCACCTAACAGTACTAACATTGGGCAGTGCCCTTGAAAAGAGTACAAGGCATCCCAGGGTGCATTGGCTCCTGGTTGAGAATCACTGGTCTAGGCCTAGCTGACACTGTTCTGAGGAACAATTTTTTTCCTCATTTAAAAAACAAACCAACACTTCCTCCCCCACCATCAA